GCGGTAAAATTTCCATGGTATGACTGCCCTCAATGGTTGACTGTGATACCGGAGGGTCAAACAACTGCAGTTCATCGGGAAATTTTTCGATAGTCGCTTGCTGCTTCGCCATAATATTTGTTAAAATTATTATTAGATCAGTGAAGCTAATGTCTTTCCCCGAGTAATTTTTTGAAATAATCCCGTTCGAATTGCTCTTTTATTACGTCGTCTCCGTCGTCCCGCTCGTCTTCTGCGTCGAAAAGATTTGCCTATGACCGTTGACTGCACAATAGTCCGTTTAATGACACGATTTCCTCGCCGTCGTCGTACTCGTCGTCGTCGTCGTCTATTCGTCGTCGTCGTATGTCCCGCCGTTTTTAATAGTGTTTAAAGCGTAAGAACGCGAGTACAAGACTCTACTTTTGCAGAATGAACACTTACTGTCGCACTTTATTCATTTTATATAGTAGTAGCAGCAGCAGCAGCAGCATCAACAACTTACAAGTTCTTCAACAATCCTCGCGTTCTTCAACTTACAAGTTCTTCAACTTACAGAACCACGCCCACATTGTTCTTACGAGAAAAAAATTAAATTGCGTTCTTTCTAAGTTTCTTTTCGACATCAACTGTCACTTTTGCGTACATTACGGAAAAGATTCCACGAACACACCTACACAGATGTGGACTCGTTGAGCTTGCATTTTCGATAATGGAGAACCACTGCCGATTCCCCAAGCGCGTCTTCTTTCCATTGCATTTTCCAGTCAGTCTGTAGCTGAATAAATGGGTTCGCTTTGGAGAACCAATTATGCACAGGAAGGTAAATTCGTGTGGCAGGTTCGTATCCCTTCTCCAGTTCGGCCGGGGTTATCATAGCGAGTAAGTTTTCTGCCCGACTGCCAAACGCTGCAGGGATAATGTGACTCAGTGTTAGCAGAACCTGTCGTCGTCCGCGTGCAGGATCAACCAAGAGACGATGGCGTGCAAGGCGTGTATCGCTGTACTTGGGAAAATTTTGATCGTGTACGTAAGACGTGAGAACGTGTTGCCGCATAACTCCATTAGAATCGTCATAGGTCAATCCGAGTGCCGCGCAGAGTAGATTACCGCGGTTTACAATCTGTATTTCGTCATTCTCACTGAACCAATAAAGTCTTCCATCAATTAACTGGATCTGCGGTCTGGTGGCCCAAGCACACGCCGCTCCACTTCCTGTCAGTATCGCATCAACAGCTTTTGCAAGAGCGGCAATCAGATCTGCAGGCGATTTTTCGAAATCTGATTCCGCTAAAAACCCATCAAGGTATACTTCGCAGGAATCTGCTTGACTCTTGTAATAGATTGTCAGCTGCCTTTGCTCAGGCGGAATTTTGGACAATTTTGCGGAGGAATAAGCCCGTACGAGAGCCACTTCCCACGGCTGCTCTAACTCCTTGTAGGACAGCAGCGGCAGCTGAATCTTATTTGAGAAATTCGTTGCCGTATTGTGCAGGACCGTAGCGCCATACGCTGGTGAAGCTCCGCTGTGCAGCACCACATAATATCCATTTTCCATCATCTTCGCGTTCAGGTTACAGTCTGCAACGAATAACAATCAATTCAAATTTTTTGAAAGACCCATTATTAACACTACAAAAACAACCTGGCCAAAGATAAATCTTCTTGATAGAACTGCGACGCGCGATTTCCGTCTCGTACTGGTTGCCCAGTAGAAAGTGATGAAAGCCGATAGGTTATAACCGGACCGTAAACGATTTCGGATACGCGAAAAATTTCGTCACTAAACGTTTGCGTGTAACCTTTGCTAAAAACAGATTTCTTTAAAACAACTCTCACAAGGTCCCCTTCTTTAAATTTTGGCTTGGCAAGCTTGATAAATCTTTTTTCTTGGCCTTGTTTGAACAGTTGTGACTGATTTTTGATTGTCACCTCCGCCGGTTTCATTTTAACACCGCTATGAATACTCATATTATAATTGCTAACAATATTCTGCAGCGCCGAATGCCAGTTAGAACTTTTGGTATAGGTAAAGTGGCGAAAAAGGATTGTCTTTAGCGTTCGGTTGTATCGCTCTGCAAGGGCTGCTTTGAAGCGCGAAGAAGAAACCTGATGTCTTATCCCATACTTTTGGAGAACGGCATTTACTTTTGCATTCAAAAATTCTTTGCCAGCATCAGTTACTGCACATAAAATTGTTCACGTAAATAAGGATGCATTTACTGAGACTTACAAACATAATGCACTTACTTAGTACAATTGGATTTCGTATTTTAAAAATTTTATCCATTGATTTTGCCACAGTTTCACCCGATTTGTTTTCTAAGGGAAAGGAGGTTGCATAGCGGCTCACGCAGTCCACCATTGTCAAAATGTACTTGTACCGCTCGTTAAACTTTTTAATTTTTTTGTAATTCCACCAGATCACCATGCCAGACATTGTCCACTCCCACACAAAAATTCTTCAGTTTTTTGAATTTTATTCGTACAGGCTTATGAACGGTGTGAGTTCGCTGCTGCGCAAGAAAATCTTTTACATCTTTTAGGGTAATCTTAACTCTTTTCTCAACTTCCCGTTCTTTGGCCACTCGATATAGACTTGCAGCGCCGGTGAGGTAAGCCGGTGATGTTATATCGGTGTACAAACTTTTCAGTAGTGTTGCCTTTCGCCGACTCTCTGCTGCAGTAGTCACGCTCTGTCTTACTTTAGCCATAACTTACCTCTTATTTAAATCCAGATGTGCTCTTTGATAAAGATCAGAATCAGTTGACGAGTTGCAAACGTGCGTGCGGAACGTAGATATATCCACAAAGTCTAAATTAAACGAGCTGGCAGCTGGGGACAATCAACTTGCACCGAAGCACATCCCTAGTAGTCAGCAGCGTTAAGCAGGGAGGAAAATTGTTATTGTTCTGCCCATTAAATTCAGTTATATACCCTCATAATCTGTCGCAAATCAGCTTTCCCACAATTCTCCTCCCACTTAAAAGGGAGGAGGATTGTAGGAGTTCTGCTGGGCGGTTCATTCGACTGATAAACATAGCAATTATCTTTATTGGCGCTCTTTATAAGCCATGTCCGCGCTGTTAAAATTTCTGGTCACTTTACTTTTGCGGAATGGTGCGGCGCTACTTTACGACTATAGTCAATATTATTACTAAAGCACTGTCTTTTGAAGTTGACTATAAAAATATTCCTCGGCGTATAAACGAAGCTGTCGCCTGCAAATACCGTGCTAGTATTGTTACAGAGAATATTTTTGCTGTTGGAGTTGGCAAATCGTCCGCTACCGCTAAGCAAGACGCCGCAAAAAAGCTTTTTGCCATCTTGTTACGCAACTATCAGCACAGGCTACTGGAGTTGTTGGGTGCACCGCAGTCTCTCACCTCATCCCATTTCCTTTCCCGCAGTCATTTATCTTTGCCTTATTTGCTGGATAATATTGCCACGGTTTTGAATTTTGATGTGGAATATCGCCGATTGCCTTCAGCAGAAGCTACCAGCTGGAACTGTCAAGCTACCGTTGCGAACGAGGATATTTTTGTTGTAGGGTGTGGCCCAACAAATCAACTGGCCAAGTGTGACGCTGCACGACAATTAATCGGGAAAATCCTGCAGAGTTATTATAAGCAGTTACTAGAAATCCTAGAGTGTCCTCCACCTATTGCATCTCCTTCCTCAGTACGTAATAGCAACGATGCCACTTGAGCGCCTCAACTCGCTTACCAATCGCCGCCATCCAGACAACCACCACAACCAATCTTCTACACCACTTCAGAGTAGCGGCGATGAAGAAAATGCCACCACCACGACCGCCACCACCACCACTACAATCATCCGAATCCAAAATCTTAACGAAGATCGCGAGAATACGCCCCCTGCAGGAATACGAACAGTACCGCCTTCGCCACCGCCGTCCTACTCTACAACAGCTGACGGTAGCGCTCGGCGTCACGCACTCGACCTTCCAGAGCATGTGACGCTGTCGCTAATTTTGGTAATTCTCGTCGTCGCTTTTATCCTACTTATTTCGAGCATATTCTTTACATTCATCAGCACTTTATTAACTATACGAGACTTGCGAGTGCCTGACATTAATGTTAACACAAGTTATTTTGTATAGCCACTTCCCGTTCCCGTAATTAGCCATCGCAACACCTTTGTCTGCATTACAAGAATAACTAACTTTTATCAGTTTCGCAATATCATGGAGCAACCACTTATCAGGCTGGATGATTACTTCCACACTGCTTTACGAGCTATGACGATTGCGCGCCCAGGATTGGAGCCCTGCCCACCCGCAGTTTTTGTATCGGATCCATATCGGCAATACACTTACCTGGAGATCTACGGCCACTTCAACTTCCGCCATATTAACCAAGTAATTAAGAATTATTTTAAGGCATTTGTACAATGTCAGCGTTGTGCCAGCTGCTGTACGTTGATAGTACGTAAACGTGGAAAATTGCGCTTGCTCTGTTTAACCTGTCAATTTCAAGTCGTTGTCAATAAGCGTATGGGTACGATTGCCGCAACGGTCACCACTTCCGGCGGGCCGCCTGACGTTGTTGTTGAGTGAAATTTACCTCTTCTAAAATGGACTTGTGCACCTGCGAGTTTACGAACTATTGTAATGTGACAAGCGCAGTTGTTGTTGTTGTGCCTGACGGTTATTATACGGAATAAACTTTGAGAAAACCAGCTGGCCAGATATTAATTCCCAGCAGCTGAAAAGGTCACCAAGATTATACTCATTTTGGTACTAACAATTATATTCTACCGTTCAACCTGCATTGTGTCACGGAGCGCTTGTTAGTTGCATTTGCTCAAAGGCATTTACTATTCACTGAATCCAGCGTTTTTTACCGCACTAGGTGGGAACTGCAGAGGCTCGCTATACATTCATATAAAAAATATGGATGTAGGCAGAGCCCCTGCAGTAAACACCTCCGTGGACATCATAAAACTTGTGCATTTGTTATTGTACAACCACCGTACGAGAAATACACGCGTAAGAGAGTAAACATTATAATGTTGTTCCAAAAATTCAACAAAATTCCAAATTGCCGATGCACGTCAGATGCAGGTTGTATAATAATAAAAGTCAAATTAGTTTGCTAGATAAGCAAATCGTTAGTAGTTGAAACGCTCATAGGGAAAAATTTGTAACCATGACATTTTCAAAGTAAAACTATGTATATTTTATGTATTTAGGACAAAAGAAATGAAATCGATGAGCAAAATCGGCGCTAAAACTATATACAAAAAGCTCATACAAACAAATATGTACATTTAAACTTCAGCGACGTTCCAGACGGTTCCCACTTCCGTCGCGTCGATTCCAAATTGCATTCGCCTGAAATCCACCGCGAGAACCACGACCATGACCGCCGCCGCCAAGAGGACGACCGCGACCGCGACCACGCAGTACTCCCAGGTGCCCATTTGCCACCATCGCATCAGGAAGTTGCGCATCCGTTTCCTGTCCTGCCAAAAAAGCACATCGTCCAGATTTTGTTGGTTTGTATAGATAAAATATTGTCTAATTACCCACCACCGCTGCCGCCGCCATCATGCTCGCTACTCTCCCGCTCCAGAACCAAATTGTCCCCGTGCTCTTCATCATGGGCCTGTACTCGGTGCTGGTCATCATCATCCTCTTCTTCCTCCCTTTCCGGAACTTCCTCCAGCCGACTCATGCTGCTGCTTCGGACATTGTGATGTGGAGAAATTGGTGGAGGAGCGGACGAGTTTCCGCTCATAAGTTCTACAATAAAGTAATGATAAGTGCGACGAAAAATAATGAATGTATACAGCGTTATAATATCAATCAAACTCACCGTCTGCGCTGCCAATACTCACAGAGCGATTAGGAGAGGATGGTTGTAGTGGTAGTGCCGGTAGTGGAACGTTTTCGTACATGTGTTCTACGAGGCAGATTCAATATATGTGCAATAACGGAAATACCTAAGCATCATTATATTACTTAGCTCCGCTTACCGCCCTGTTCGTCCTGCTCTTGATCGGCGTTGTTGCGTCCGTGCACTTCCGCAGAAACAATGACTCGTGACACATCAGAGCGTGGAGAACTGTACACGGGAGATTCCCTATCGTCCGCACGGTACTCTGCCAAAAGTCGCGCATTATTATTTCCCGCAACTTGCTGCTGGCGGTCACGGCGGTTGTTATCGTTGTTGCCGTAGTCGTGGTCGTGATCGCTGTCGTCGTTGAAACAGTTCATCACTCTATCATCAAGCACGGGATTATAGTCGGCAGGGCGCGGGGACGGCATGTGGCGAGTCGGTGTCCTGGAATCCCGGTTAGCTACTGGAGAGAAGCCATGGTGCTGCTGACGGCCTGGATTGAAGATAGGATTCGTTGATACTCCACCACGACCATCACCCCGACGCCCATCGTACCCACCTGGAATTTGTCTGCCCAGGCCCATGCCCCGCCGATTGACATCATCGTTAGTGCCGCCACTGCTGCTGTTATCCCTGTTGTTATTAAAGACTCCTCTCATCCAAGACCACACCGAAGCACTGCGGCGACCGCGACTGCGGTCGTTGTCCTCATCGCCACCGTCATCTTGCTGATTACTGCCGGCGCCTCCGCCGCCGCCGCCGCGAATAACACGATAACCACGCTTCCACAAGATGCACAAGATGACTACCAGGAGAAGAATGACACTGGCTACGGCAATACTAGCTGCAGTAAACCGATCTGCCAGCAATCCCATACGAACTTCAGCACTACCGTCACTACTACCTACAAGCAAACACGGAGGGCATGATATGTTGGCACAAGGAACAATGCGATCTGTAGCGTCCGGCAGCGCCAGCGTGGCTGGTGTCGTCGTTGGGGACAACAGTAATCCAACAACAGTCGTCAGAGGTTCGTCATCATCATCATCATCACTATCCTTGCCAGCAGATAAGGACGACAATTCAAAACGTTCCGACTGACCGACATCCGCATTACTACTGCTATTTAATACAAATAATTCTGTGTCGTTACTTTTGGATACAGCCGCACTAATGTTTTCGCCCGGATGCGAAGCCAGCAGCAGCGGTGGCAATATACCCATATCAGCTGCTGTGTTGATAAGTGGGTGTGTTGCGAGAATTGGCTGTGAGGTAGTCGCAATATTCGGGACGTAGGTGGAAGGGTCAGCAGCGTCTGTAACCGTGGGTGGAGTTATGCTTGACAAGGTTGCTTCGGTCGGTATCGTTACAGCAGCGGTTGACCTGATCGTGGAGGTCGGATCACTCGTGATACGAATGGTGTCCGCCGTGCTCGTTCTTTCACCGCTAATATCCGCTTCTAGCGCCGTCATATCGATAATTACCGACGGCTGAGATGAAGGGGAAGGTGTCATCATCATATCGGGCTGGTTTGATACAGCTACCTTATCGCTACTCTGATCCCTGTTCTTGTAATAACTTTCACGATGCATAACTATTTCGACAGGGAATGACGTTGGGAACACTTTATCAGCGATGACAGTGGTTGCGGTTAATATCGACATCAAATTAAATTCTAGCTGGGCGGGCGCGCGCGTGGGCGTTGTTACAACAGCGGACGGCGTCGTTGTTGTTGCTGCTGTCGTTGATGTCTTTGGCGTAGTCGGCGGTAGCTGTGTAGTAGTTTTGCCGGCTGTACTTAACCCGCCCACCACCACCACTTTGCGCAGGTAATAATCACCTGATGTAGTCAGCGGAAGTAATGTACTCGTACTTGCAATCGCATGACCAGACGGTTTTCTTGAACTCGCATATGTTGTTAAAACGGCTGGCAGCGATAATAGCGTACCGGGGAAAATTGTAGCAATAGAAGTAGTTGTGTTCTCCACGCCAATAACAACACGCTCCCCATCATCACTCTTACCGCTTAGATTATTCGTACCGACTGTTGATGGTGCCATAGCCCGTGTGCTGTATTCCCGATCCCGCGAAGGGTTGAAAATGGTTGAGGTTTCTCCGTTGATGAATGGTAGCAGTGGAGATTGAGACTTGTCGGTAGTGGGTGATGGCGGTGGACGTGGACGGGTCCGTGCTGCTGCAGCCCACGGGCAGCATGGCGGATACGCACATCCGGTGCGTTTGTCTGCGGAATATTTTAATATCATTATCAGAGAACGTACAAATGCTTAACTTTACAAATTATTTCAACGATAATATTTGACAGTTATTTAAATGTTTTTTATTACTATGTTACCTGCAGGGCAACGAGGAGCAATGACTCGGATACCCAAACTCTCCAGGCATTCCAGTTCGCGGCATTGCTGACCGTCGAAAATCGTCTGCGCCAGGATAATGAGCTGAAGATCGGGAAAATTATGGGCAGGGCTCTGATTAGGCAGTACATCCACATCCGATCCGGATAAATCCAGCATGCGAACGCCTCTAATTATCGCATCCGGTTGATTGTCCAACGGCCACAGTGATGCCTTACTGTCGCCGCATTTCCAAAAGGATGGATAGCAGGTGCAGAAATGCGGACATTGTACAGCATGGGAATCAGACCGCAGCGGCTGACGGTCATAGCTGCATGCAAAGAAAGTCAAGCAGCCAGCAAACACCGTAATTACCGAGACAATTAAGTGCGACATATTACTGATGGAAAAATTATAACATCTGCAGTTATAAAATCAATAACGCAGCACCACTACGTTATACATTTGCAAAATCGATGCGGAAGGAAGAGAAACTCAGTTCTTGACTTGAGAACAGCAAACACAAAATGAAAGTGTAGAGAATAAAATGCACACACTTACCATAACCAAATGGAGATAGCGGTGACCATTATCTGTGCCTGTTGTTATCCGCTTTCCACTGACTCATATAAGGAAATTAAGATAACGCGCCATGAGAACACTGCAATTCGTTTTTTACACGGACAATTACTCTGGTGGGAAATATTTTGTTATCAGCCGGCCAGCTTGTTAACCAACACTGTAGCAACGCCGTTACGCGTGCATAGTGTATCCAGGGAGGAATGCACGGTTGACTGCGAACTGCATTAGATCAAGGGCCAGGCAGTTGTCTGGCGGCGGCGTGCTATCTGCGTGCATATATGCCGTGTATAATAACATTGATACTGCTCATGATTAATAAGTGTGCACAAAAATTCCTGAGGAACACTAGACCGAGAGAAGACAGCAGGTGGTCTTTAATGATTGGGAAAAGCGCTGGTGTACGAGGGCAGTACTGTCCGGTACGAATAATAACTGTTAAATATTGTTATAGTGCACGTGCCTACCGGGAACGTGTAAGAGTAGTATGTATTCAGTATACATGACTCTGCGATTCGTAGCGAAGCGAATCCCTGCCCCTGCCACATGGCAACCTCCCCCATCAGTCGCTGTGCTGGCAGTTACTCGGGGGTAAATGCCAGCACAGCAGGTGGTACCTATATCATCACACTACACCAGTGAACTACCTACCAGTCCGACGGAGTCCGTTCTGCAACCATCGTCCTTCCGAGCGTTTGCACTCGCTATAGTTTTCTGGCAGCGTACGGTCCTGTTGCCACGTCTGAGCAGTAATGGGCTTAATGGGAAATCTTTATCAGGTATCCTTTGTAATGTATACTACCTTTAAGGTTTCAACCAGCAAAGCTCGATCATTAAAGTATTCGTAACAGCTTGGTTTGTGCCTTTTAGGGCGTGCACCGTATCCTTAGACTGGGCGCAGCTTCGAATCAGGCCGTGGCGGAATCTGCAACCGTTCAGGCCGCGGCGGAATCTGCAACCGTTGAGGCTGTCCAGCCACAATCTGACGTGGTCGGTAAGTGCATAACAGTATCTGAGCTGCGAAACTCTTCGCTCGCCCTCGCGCCGGACCCACGGCAAGTTGACCAAGTCATGCATGCTGCGACCCTTTGGTCATGCCACGACTGGAGTCTATAATATAGCAATGCAAAAGGAATAAACCACAGCGCGTGCCACCTACGGCACTCCTAATTCAGATAACAAATGTTGTAAGGAACAAAGTGATACGAATTACAAGAAACTGGATTCGGAAAAAGGGCAGCACTGCACTACAATAAACAACGATAATGTAGCAAATAAGCGGGTACCATGAGAAATCTTAGGACCACAGGAAACGACGAAGCGTTATATATAAAGAAGGACAATCTATTTATAAGTTGTATTTTTTTGTTCTGATGGTTATTGTCGAACAAACGTTTACGTTACAGACAGCACAACTGCACCCATCCAAACGTACCCGCATGTAACATCGCCGCAGCACCCTGAGCACAATCCGCGCCAGCTGCAGCAGGTGGCCACTCTCAATCATGGAGAGGTGGTGTGTGCGGTAATTGTCAGCAGTCTAACCCGGTACGTGTTCACGGGCAGTAAGGGTACCGTCAAAATGTGGGATGTCTTCCCCAACGGCAATACCAGCCCGCCGACCAATCCTTCGCAACCGGCACATGAACTGGACTGTCTGGAGAGGTCTACCTATGTACGCTCCTGTAAACTCCTGCCGGATGGCAACACGTTGGTGGTCGGTGGGGAAGCGCAGACGCTGACCATCTGGGACCTCAATGGCAGCGGTGTACCCAGGGTATGAAGATGACGACAGATGGGGCTGCCTGAATGGGAATATTGGCTGAAATTGGGGATTTTTTAAAATTAATTTTTAATTTTTCTCGCATCAGAGCAGGTAGTCATATATCTCTCATTTCCGCAGAGGGCACCAGTCTATGCAGCATGCGATTTTAAACCTGGCTGGACAAACAATAACAAATATTGTATACTAAAGAAATAAACCAATAGAATAGAATGCGGTCGCACACCTATCAGTAGCACTAGCTACGTGCATAAGCTAAACCGCTAAGGCACCTCTCAACCACATAAAAAACCTGCAGTGTGCAAAACCTTTCAGAACAGCCAAGGGTACGTATTACTAGCTCCTCTCTTGCATTATTTCAACAACAGTTTATGCTTTTTATAGATCAAAGGAAAACTGTTCAGCGAGGCACCGGCTTGCTATGCTCTAGCCATCTCCAGTTACTCTAAGTTGTGCTATTCATGCTGCTCGAATGGGAATATCACCGTGTGGGATCTGCATAATCAGAAGGTCGTCTCGCAGATCTGTGCACATTCCGATGGGGCCAGCTGTATTGATATTTCCAGGTGAGGAGAAGAAATACATTCGCATCGTGTCATTACACGAATTATTATTCGTTTAAAAGTACTTGAACCCAGCAGTGTCAAATGTTTCCAAAGTTACATAAGTTACTTTCGTAAACTAGTGGATAATAACTTTGACCCTTCTCTGATACACATACCTTCCATTTCGGTGTTGCTTGATTCGTAATTACCATGATTCGAAATATGTACATACAATGAAAAAAATGGATTAGTTCTCAAATCAAAGTGGGTGTTTCGACTAAGAAATCTCAGATTTATAGACGGTGACAAACGACGAGTAATAATCAAAAGGTGACTTATCAATGTGTTTGGAGATTATGCGTGGTAATGCTATGAGCTAGAGTGTTTTGTGCACGGTCCCTTCTCATGTTAACTGGGAAATTCTTCATTTGATCATATTTGTTGAGCAGCTCGCCTTGTACATATTGAGAAATAAAGTACTTATCAATTACATGACGAACGATATGAACACCCTGAATCCTTTACAGCAATGGGCTGCAACTGTGGACTGGTGGTCTGGACAATACAGTCCGCTCATGGAACATCCGCACCAACCGGCAAGAGGACCAGATGGACTTTCCGTCACCAGTCTTCAGTCTAAGCTGCTGCTCGACCGGCGACTGGCTAGCGGTCGGGCTGGAAAACTCCATGGTGGAAGTGCGTAACATGTCGCGATGGGACCGACACCATCTGAAACTGCACACATTGGCGGTGTTGTCCGTGAAGTACGCCACGGCAGGGAACTGGTTGGTCTCCGCGGGGAAAGATACCAGGCTCAGTATGTGGGTGCCGTCGCAAGGATTGAATCCGGTCAGTCTCACCACGCCGGCGTCCCTGTTGTGCTGCGATGTGACCATCGATGATCGTTACATAGCGATAGGGTCGGGTAACCGCACTGCGACATTATACGAAGTTACAGTATATACTGACCTTTCATTGCCTGTGCGGAAAACTTTGGGATAAAGAGGCATTACTCGCTGTACAGTTCTTCTGCACCACATATTCTCCGCATGATTTCTTTAGATTTAGAAAATTAATTGAGGACGATTTGCAGTTGCAAGGTCTCACGTTCATGCATGGCAGATTTAATTTGTTGCGGTCCGTCGAAATTCGAATCCACTATTCGACCGTTTTTATTTTTTTACTCAAGCATACTATAACTTGTTTATGCTCAGTGCTGTTTAACGAAAAATGCAACATACAGGTTTATGTGCTGCCTGTTATATAAAATTATACAGAGTATAATTAAGACATCTTTGTGCATGTAAAATACATGTGACAGAGGTCTATGCTTTTGCCGGTTGGTTTTGCATGTAAGGTGTATTTTCGTACGAACTTCTGAACTTAACCTTCCATGTTATGAAACGTATTCGTACAACTTTAGCAACAAGTACTTCAAACCCATCAAATTCCGCTCGCAAGTCAAGTCAGAAATGACAACCTTAACTTTGATACAGGTACATGCTATTACAAGCATTTTAATCGTATGTAATTGGAACGCGGATGACCTTTGTTAGCAGGCTGCTTGATCGGCGGTGGTCTTACGCAAGGGGCGCTGTGCGGCACATGCGTTCATTCAAGAAAACGTTTGGTATGTTTGGCCACTGACAGTCATAAATGCAATACTGCAATACAGGCATTCCGATGTTGCTCCGCGTCAAATCGAAAAAACGTTAGCAATATTTCGTTGCCGATCGGTAGGTACGACACATGCACTTGCATAAATAGTTAGGGAAGCTATGTACAGAATAATCACTTATTGCTTTACTCAGTCAACCAAAACGAAATTTCCATAGCTCAAAATGAAGACATTAATTTTTGTATATACATTGGTTTTATATGTATGTGTTACTGCGGGTAAAGTGCTGAACGTCTCCCAGTCCTACCGGAAATAACCATGGACACTAGCCGGAAAGCGCTGACCGTGGATCAAAAGGCGCTAGTCCAGGATCGCTCCAACCGCAACGCTTTGCAGTGGACCGGGCGGGAAGAGTGGGTGGTGCTGCTGCGCTGCAATGATGCCGAGCACAATCACCCGGTACTGTCCGGCCGATGGAATTCAATTCCACGCATCTGTGGATGGACCTGCTGGGGCAGACTACCGGCTGGCTGGCCTTTGGCATCTCACCGGATGGGGGGATGGACAAGGCGGATGTGCTGTTTGCGTGGTGTGATGATGATGTCAACGGAGCACACTGCTATGCACAGGTATGCACTACCGGCATTTTATTGATGTTTGCGCAATGCGTAATGCCAGCCGTACTATACATGTTATGCCGGGTAGGATCGGAATATTGCAGTGGATGAGACCCGACAGCGCGTGAATCTGACCAGTGATGAACAGCAGGACTGGGTGCTGATTTCCGGGAGAGAGAATGGGACGCATACATGGATTACGGCGGCGAGGAAGCTCAATACGATGGATCCAAAGGATATTCGAATTACGGTAGGTCAAAATGCGTTGAAAATGTAATCAAGCCGAAAGTTAGTATAATGGTACATGTATGGTCACTAATGTGGGACGTGTAGCGTAGTTTCAGTATAATAAAAAACTTGCGAGTATTATCCTTATACAAAATTTAATGATTAATTTTATTCTACAGTAGCAAGTTACCAACTACATAGCAACTTTAATAAACAGCTTTACCACGAATTCGGCAGTTGATTATTGAGCAACTAAAGAAATATGCATGTCTGAGTCTTTACAATCCTTGTAAATTATAATTACCGCATTACTATCATCTAAATAATTGTCGGATACAGGGCCGGGCCATCAATGGCATCTTCGCGGTGGGCGCCGTGGATCCCGACATCACCACCGGCGAAGTGCAGAAGCACATGTACAAAATCAGCCGCAAACTGACCGTCCTCCCAGCATCCCACCGCGACTCCCTGTGGTCAGAGAACAGCTCGGAACAGCCCGGCATCTGGATATCCCCACCGGGCATGCCCATGCCCAGTCCCAGCAGCAGCGGCTTCATGCCACTCCCAGCCGGCACCGTCACATGGAGCTCTCAGAGTAACGGCACGATCGTGACCAACGCCAACACTCGCCGCGGATCTGATAACTGGGACTCCGGATTGGTGCGCGTGCAGTTCGGCAGCGGTGATCCGTTGGGTCTTCCCCGGGGTCAAGGCAGCAGCACCTCGATTAGTACGAGTTCTGACGGATCGAACTGGAATTCGCAATCATTCGGGCAAACGCAGCAAGGCTTCCGAGGTTCCGGTGGAAGGATGCCGGTCGGCAACCAAAGGTCACCATCGCTGTCTTCTTCTTCCGGGTTATCAGTCACTTCCGGTGGACGAAACACGGTTGCCAGCACCCCGGTGGCGGTCGTTTCGAACAGTCAGGTGGTGCAATCATCCAGTGACTTTTCATCTTCCGATGAACAGGATTCACAAGACTACATGGATCTGAATCCCGTAGTATCTGCTTCTAACAGTCGTGTTCCACAATCCAGCAGTTCCGGTTTATCACAAACTTTCGGCTTCGGTTCATCCCAAACTTCCGGCTCCGGTTTACGCCAAAATTCCGGCTTCGGTTTATCTCAAACTTCCGGCTCGGGTTTACGCCAAAATTCCGGCTCCAGTTTATCCCAAACTTCTGGTTTATCACAAACTTCCGGCTCTGGTTTATCCCAGACTTCCGGTTTATTACAAACTTCCAGTGGGCGAAATTCGGGGTCGCCTGTTCAAATCAATCCCGTTTCCGTTGATTCAAGTAATCGCGGTACGCAATGGTCATCGTCATCCAGTAGTTCCCGGGTGGATCGCACTGGGCGGAAGCAGGACGGTATAGATGAATGGTCATCGTGGGCGAACACCGGCGACGACAGCAATATGACCCTGGCGCAGTTGATTATGCGCGGACTGAAGGGCGTGGCCAGCTTAGTGGGCTGGTTTTCGTCGCTACAGATCGATCCAACCGAGCTGGGACTGTTCGGAACGAAGAAGAGTGTAAGTTCGCTGGAGCAGGGTGGTGGACGCCATGTGCAGTGGACGACAGCACAAGAAAGCAGTGAGAATTTCAGACAGCATTATGATGTGTTAATGACCAATATTTCCTTCAAAAATCGGCCGGTTTTCTAATAATTCTGTAAACGCTCCTTTCAGATAGCACGTTTCTAAGCGGATGGCGTAATTTTTTATTTGCAAGCGTGTGTTTTTATTTGCAACCGTGTTCAAGCTGTTATCGCTGGCGATAAATGCTGTGAAAAGATTAATGCCTAAGCCATCAAAACTGAAAAAAGTTTCTATAATATGAAAAATTAATCACAAGACAATATACATACAATGGCAAATAAGCATACACATAGATAAAAAATTAAAACATCAGAAAGACAATATTACCACAAACTCTTCCACAGGGAAAAAACTAAGTCATGTTGGTCTTCGTGGCAAGCTCAGAAAAAAGCTGAGAATTCTTCAGACTTTCATGGAATCCGCCGTTTGAAAAATTATTCTTCCCCTTCTTCATCTTTCCATTCGTCCATTGAATCACTACTACAAAGCCAAAAGCACATCTATCAGATTAAAGTACCTGTTAACATTTTCAGTGGTCTTCGCTGAATTTGCTCAGTCTGTCGTGACAAGAAATTCAGGACATGTTTATTGATGATTTAATTTCAAGTTGAAAAAAATCTAGCTTTACTGTTTCGCGTGGGCCAAACCGTACGCGTTTCGCGTAATGCACAAGAAATTGTTGCAAATGTACCGCTTTACATCGAAAAGAAAGCTAAAACATAACATACCTGTCACTGTCATCGTCACTTTCCTCTTGCGGCTCGTAATCATCATCATCCTCTTCATCCGTTACCAGATCCGACTCAAACAGCACATCCAGCGGTATTTCTTCTTCTTCCTCAGACTCTTCCGTGTCCTCTTCCTCCCGATCAGAAGAGCACGGGCCGTCCTGTAGATTATCCCGTTCGTTTTCATCGTCTGACTAAAATTGATGAGATCATTTCACGCACAAATCGCTTTTCCCAGGACCGATAACCGACCAGTAACGGTACACTCAAAAAAGCTTACAAGCGACCCTTTTTTCTTAGTGAACTCCAACGGTATTTGAGATCGTTCATGAGGCGGAAGAGCCGATGCGGTTTCCGAGAATATGTACACAAAAACTCCCAATAGCTCGGTGGCAAGCAGTAACCCGGTCTGTAAAAATACGTTGACGTTGTTCATACATCATTACCACATTAAAGAAATGGTGGGGACCGGCAAGCTGACCAACCTGGGCGGGGCCGTTAGATAATTCAGGACCGGTCAGCATGGTGAAAGGGACAAAGTTAAGAGCAGCGCCCAACACTTCCCGTCGATTAGCACCGGAAGGCTCCAGACCCTTGTCCTGACAAGCCGCCACGGCCCATCTACAGACAGAAAAACTAAGCACGTTTGACAAAAGGATTTTAACTATTCTGATTTAGTCACGGCTGCAGAGCGTACAAAAAAATATTTGTTATGTTGCTGTTTATGTTTATTTTTTATTTAGATATTTTATTTTTATGGTAGCAGAATAATCAACCAGTGGCACGGGCCTGATTGACCGACATACCGTAAAATCCGATATTAACGCCCCCCCCCCCCGAAATTATCGCCCCGGGGCGTCTAATAATTTGCGGCGCCGCCCTTTTTTAGTGTGTTGTCGGTACGGTCTTTGTGGTACATCTTGCTAATTTAACTAATGCACACTCTTAAACCATGATTTTCTAACTAATGTCTTGGTTTCTGAATTATTCCTTTAATGTTCATACATAATAACCTCGTTTAAACTGACACATCATGAGCGTGTTATTCCTTTGAAAAATTAGACGCCCCCCCGTAATAAACGCCCCCTGCGGTTTTAAACGCCCCCTCCCGAGCCTCTCGAAAAAATAAACGCCCAGGGCGTTAATATCGGATTTTACGGTACTTACTTTTCCACAGCAGCATAAACAACGTTCGCGGTAGCACGACGGTTACGACGGTTACGTGCAGCCTGCAGCAGTATGGTCATCAAAGTGTTCTGCGAGATGTCGCTGAAATGTTCGGACTGCAGAACGTCGTCAGTGGACGCATCCACGACATCCAGGCAACGGTTGACAATGTCAGCAGGACCAAAACATAGTGCCTACAGGACATAATCGTCAACCGCATCACACCAATAATGCAGAGTGTACAGCATGTCACTGCAGAGCCACTAGGGAATTTTAGATTTCACATGGTTCAGGCTCCGTCCACTAGAAACTACTGCGTCACATAAACAGTACGTTACCAGATTGAACAGCGCTTAAAATGCTTGTACGGATGCATACTTGCAGTGACGTACAGCTGAAAAATAAATCGAGTCGAGAGTGCCGAGAGCGTGACCAACCTGCTCTCGGGGAGGCGGTTAGAGCACATAAAAAAGATCCACAGGCAGCATACGCTGGCTTGTCGTTCAGCCATACGGCTGAGCCGTTGCACAGATCCACGCAAGGCAGATAGTTTTTACGCGTCAGCCAACGACGTTAGGTTACGGCGCCTTACGTCGCGAACGGACGTAAATCGACCCGTAACGCCAACTTCTACCCGCAAGTCGAACTGCACGGAACTTGTTTTGTGAAATCTAAAATTCGCTACTGACACTGTCCAAAAACATGGCGCATGTGTCGGTGTTCAGCTGACTTCGAACCAGATCCCAGCACAAATCCACTAGCGACGGTAAGTCATACTTGTCCGCACAATACATGGTCGGGAAAACGTTTTCCGCATTCAGATTCTCCACACGGTCGGTGTACATGTAACTGCAAGTGGAACAGTAGTCAGTGGAAACTCGTTACATTATTATTTAACAAACGAATAGGAACTTGTTTCCTTATTGTTGACCATAATCGCTGGCACGACGCACAGTGCGCCACACTGTTTAAAAATGCGAAGACTCATCAGACGTTCCCGTATCTTTCTAACGCCACTTGGTTTTTTTTAGCATAATGCGCAGCAGATACAGTTACGACTGGTAACGTGTGTCATCGCGATCCGGGGCTTATCAGTCTACTCTCCGAATGGTCAAAACAGCCATACCGCCATACCGCACGTACAGTACTCCTGTCTCCTGATACCGCGCTGCACAGCTCCGTTTTTTAACATTAATTTTATAATATTTAAAATACATTACTATCGCTTATTCAGACATCAAAAATCAAAATAATAATTACATTCTTTATGCTAGAAACGCAACTTGCTTATTAGGACATTACCGTAATAACATACAGTATCTGATCACCTTATCATGCTTACGCGCAAAACTCGCTTATACTGTACAGTACCAGTAGTTTTAGCAAAATAAAGAAATTTGCAAGTGGTCTGCTACTTTGTTTAAATTATCACAGTACAAAATTTCTTCAAAGCTGATAAGTTCTTAGCCTTTTTATCGCACTGCGAAAACGAGTGTTTGCCCTACAAACGATAAAATGCCCACCTGAGCATGTTGGCAAAGGCATCCGGATGGATCTCGGGAATATCCACGACCGACTGATCCCCAATCCCTGCCCAGCTTCCATAAAACATGGTGCGAAACACTTCGCTGCTGATGCCCAGAATGTATCTGCAAAACAACACCCGTGCTTGCTCGGCAGTTTTCGTGGCTGGGGCGCGTACTTGTGAGCAGGGAATGTCTTCACTTCGCCGTGCTGACGACCCACGGTAAACGAGACATCGCTCAACATTCCACTCGTCAACGATGCCTTGATGCGACTGCTGATCCCCGCAGCGCTAGCTGGCTCATCTGTCTTGGCCGATGACTCTGGACTCTGGGACATGGCTGATATGATGAGTGGTTGAAATTTATAAATTTAAAAACTGAACAAATAGGATGAGTACAGAAAAGTGAAAGTTGAATCACTGAAATGATGTCTTGACTCTTGTTTACAAAAATGCAGAGCGCGACCAGTCACGACTGATTGTAAGAGCTTCTGTATCGAGGCATGCCCTGCCTGAGGGTGGTAGCGCTTGAGACTCCAACATCCGGTATAAAACTGCCGACGTGAAGCAGAAGGCTTCCCCGAAACAATTCACAAGATTCACTTCTTTCAAAATTAAAACTATTTAAAATCAACTTTTAAGCCTGTTCTTCAATGAGTTATAAGATTATGACTGTTTCCGCTGAATTACCAAGTCTTTGTAATGTCGGACAATGAACGGCCGCTCAAGAGAATCAAAATACGTAACCACATCCTAGAGGAGCTGGCTCACTTCAAGTTTAAAGCCAGTTCCGGTTCTGGTTTTCTCGTTATTCTGCTTTCATTCTGTTGTTCATAGTTTGCAATTTATCGTGTGTTTCGATTTGTCGTTTGATTTTGATGTCTGATTGTAAATTTTTGGTATTTAAATTTAGCGCATGGATTCTATTTGTGATCATGTTGTCGTTTGATGATTGAAGTAGGAAATGGATTCCGTTGTATGGCGTACCAAATACCTCACCCCCCGTAAACCTTAAAACTTAAAACTCAGAACATTAAAACGTAAAACACTAAAACGTAAAACGTATGTAAAACACTAAAACACTAAAACGTAAAACACAAACGTAAAACACAAACGTAAAACACTAAAACGTAAAACGTAAAACACTAAAACGTAAAACGTAAAACACTAAAACGTAAAACCGTAAAACGTAAAACACAATACCGTAAAACTCAGAACTCAGAATCGTAAACCTCAGAAATCAGAATCGTAGAACTTGAAACTGTAAACCATGAAACATGGAATCGTGGTTTTCGTGGACTTGGACAATTTTTCACTTTTCAGAGTTCCAATTCCACAATGCCAATTCCAATAATGTTAATGGAATTCTACTTAATTATTGGAATTAGGCGGTGATTTTGGAATTGGATTGGCGTTGGTGGAACTACTGTTTATTTTTGCTTAAAATTGTCTAAGTCCACGAAAACCACGATTTCATGTTTCATAGTTTACAGTTTCAAGTTCTACGATTCTGAGTTCTGAGGTTTACGATTCTGAAGTTTTAATTGTGTTTTACGTTTACGGTTTTACGTTTTACGTTTACGTTTTAGTATTTACATACGTTTACGTTTTAGTGTTTTACGTTTTAATGTTCTGAGTTTTAAGTTTTAAGGTTTACGGGGGTGAGGTATTTGGTACGCCATACCGTTGTGCCGTAATTCGTGCACGATCATTGCTCAGTGTTCGCGAGTTTCTTCAGCCAAGGGATTTGAGTTACAGGCTTCAGGATGCTTCCGCAAAATCATGAACCACTGAAAAAACTCTGTAAGCTCCATTAACGGTGTTATGTAAATGACGAACGTTGAATTCGGTGAGGCACAACTTACAACCGCGATGTTGTTTTGGCAGTTTGCAAGCCCTGTAATCGTTTCCTGCAAGAACCCTGCTGGAAACATACCACTAATATCCCCGACAAGCCAGTGATACCCTACGCCCTGGGCAGCCTGCCTGATGCCTTGTACATGGACTATTGCGGAGAATGGAGCACAGGTGAGCATTTGGGGTTAGCAGTTATCTGCGTGGTAGGTTGTGTGTTGGAGTTCCTAGTTCGATTTTCATTTCTCGTCATGGAAATATTTTCATTTTTTAAAATGAATTTTACATAATTTACTTGTTTGCTTTGGCGCCTTTGGGCAGTTGTTTAGGTTCGTTTAGGTACGCGAAATAACTGACTTATTGCTATGTTTTGCTAGAACGAAGTTTTGGGTGAATTTCTATTTGAATTTTTTCTTTAATGTCAAAGTCTACTTGTGATATTTTTTCATTTCCTTTTTTGTTGTGGTTTTTTATTTGTACGCTTCTAAGCTTCTTATTCGTTTTTCTTCGCATTTGTAAACATTACCGTATTCCTGTTCGTTTTCAGTACTGTATGAAAAGATTTTCACGATCACGTGTTAAAAAAGAATAATTTTTTAAATTGTATAATTAAGGTTGCTGTGTAAAACGCTTTGGATACAGTATTTAATTTGGACTATTAACAGAGCGCGGTATTTTCGCCCGCGATGCCATTGCGTCGCACACCGTCTTCGGCCCGCTAGTGGCGCCTCTGTCCCCGGTATCTCAAGCATCCACAGCGTTCGCATGTCGCAAAGAGCCCACCGTCGATCTGGGCTATTACCAGCTGGATTCCGATTATTTCTGTAACTGGATGAAATTCGTTCGTTTCTCGCAGAACCGGCAAGAGGAGAACGTGGCGGTGTACATGCGCGGCATCAAACTGATCTTTATTACGACGCGCGATATCCCGGCTAACGAGGAACTGAAACTGGGCTACTCGGCCCAGTACGCCGAGACTGTCCGCGAGAGGACGCCGGAATTGGTCCTGCCGATTATTGAGACCGTCGTGGTTCCGTTGGAGAAGGGAAACGATGACGATGAAATGGACGAAAACCCACCGAAAAAGAAAAAGAAAGTTAAGTCCGGCTTGTGCACGCTGTGTAACCGGGAGTTCACGAACGTGAAGAAGCATTTGCAAACGGTGCATGTGGATTTCACGAAGAAGGAGTTTAAATATGAGTGTGCACAGTGTACAGTGAAGTTTCCGACGTTACGCTCGAGGGACGCTCATCAGAGAACGGTACGCATGCGACCCGGTTAGTTTTGCAAATGAACGTTTTGTCTTTTTAAATTTCCACATCCTGTTGGAATTTTCGATCATTTTTAAGCTCATAATTAATTGGACTTAAGCTACTATAGTAAGTTACTGTTAGTAACTTGATAAGTACTTGTATTCATTTTGTTCTTATAGGCTGATGCTAAGTAAGGATTTCTGCAAGTTTGAAAGTTGTTTTTTGAAACATGTACATAAATTTACGTGACTAGTGGGCCGTAATAAATTTAATTTATTTTGCCGTATTTTGTTTCATACAGATATTAGTAGCTTCGTTTCATGTTTTTGCTTCGTTTTTCGGTATGGTTTTGCCCATTTTGTGTATGATCATGACACAGCTTCGCCTAAATTTGTACTGTATAAGCAGTTTAAGCATGTCATGGCTGTTTTTGGTGTTTTCCTGTTCCATTTTGTTCAAAATATTTTTGGTTAGCTTCTAATTTTACCAACGCAGAAGACAAGAAATAAATTGCATTTACCAGTTTGATGTTGTTACGCTTCCATCAAAGTGAGTGTTCCTAGTTTATTTCTGGTTTTATAGGCTCACCGAACAGTCAGCGTGGCACCGGAAAGCAGTGCCGTGTCCACCGCGATAGAATACATGAAGACCACCGGTCTCTTCACATATTACTGCCGCCCCTGCCTCCGACACTTCCCCAGTAAAGCCCTCCTGGACCTCCATGAATTCCAGCACCAGGACGCCAGCAGTCCGCTGACAGTCATCCAACGCATCTGTCCCCAGTGCGATTTCGTCGGTAAGAGCTTTTCCGAGCTGGTGCAGCACACAACCGAGCACGCCATCAAGCCCACCGAGAAGAAATGCTGTCTGCTCTGCGGGGAGTACGCCTTCAAGATCGGCACGCATATCCGCGCCTGTCACACGCAGGAATTCGCCGTCATCTCCGCCGACTGGCCGCTGGTGTGTGAGGAGTGCGGGATGAAGTTTATGCATCAGAAAGACCTGGGACTGCACGTCACCACCGTGCACAAGGGCTTTCAGTGTCTGTACTGCGCCAAATTATTTTATACCTCGGCGAAATTGACGGATCACATGGAGGAGCACAAGAAGGACGGGAAGTATCCGTGCCTCTGGTGTGAGAGGACTTTTGAGACGTATGCGCAGTGCCGGGCGCATCATACGGATGTGCATGGCGCCAAGGGGGTCAAGGTGTGCGATGTGTGTCAGATGGTGTGCTCGAACGCGGCGAAATTGGCTTTTCATAAGAAGGTTCACACGCCCGGTGTTATCGTGAAGCGAGCGCCGATCCCCGGGCGGAAACGGAAATCATCTGAAGAGAGGCAGTTAAGAAAAAGGGTGGGTAGTGCAATGAATTTTGTTTTATTTGCTTGCGTTAGGCTGCTTTTGGCTGACGTCTAAAAATTGTTTTTATATAATAATAATAATTATAAGTTATAATTTCTCAGTTTTCTCTGATACACCATGTTCTTAGCTTGTTTTGACATCTGACTATTTCGCACACATGTGTATACTTGTTAGTAAGTAAAAAGATATTTGTAACAAATAAGAAATAATTGTAGTAAATAGGTAATTTGTATCAGTTTTTAAAAAGCCTTGTTAATTTGTATTATTAAAGTTAAGAAATAATTTTATAATGCTGTGTAATTAATTTTTACCTACTGTATTTTATAAAAACTCGTTATTTGTGTTTACTAAGAAATATTTGTATTATTCAGTAATTAATTTGAATCTGGTGTTTTAAAAACTTGTACACATGTAGCAAATGCGAAATACTGAATATTCGTAATAAAGCGGTGCATTTTTGAATTTGCTTGTTAGCATTGGCTGGAAACGCCGGTTTTTTTGTTTTTGCTGACAGACTCGTGCTCGAGATCGTGTGGAATGCGATATCTGTGGGGCCGTGATGAACAAACACTCCCTGTGGAAGCACCGGAAATGGGTGCATAACGCCGATGAAGAAGCGAAGGAACGGAAGAAGCAGCAGCGCAAAGAGAAGGAAATGTCCAAAGAGTACGTTGATCCGCGACGGAGGATGACGTTTGAAGAGTTCCCCTTCAAGTGCGAAGTTTGCCGGTTGGGATTCATGAAGCAGATCATGTTCAATAAACACATGCAGGACAAACATACCTAGTTCCTAAATGCTCTCAACGCTTTGACGGGAGTGCGAGTGTAGTGCGTTATTTGCACAGTTGTACTTGCTAGTTGCTGCTGCCTGTAATTTACACGTACTCTTTCCTGATATTATGAGACTGCGTGTTTTTATACTGGAGACATTGATTTCGTTTATCGAACAGTTCCTTGGAACAATTTTTTTTGAAAAATGTGCACATTAAACACAATTGGACGGTTTTTGTTGCTATCGGAGTCATCTGGCTCCAAATCGGTGCAGGTGTACCCGGTATTTTTAATTTCGAAGCGGTCAAGACAACAGAATAGGTTTGCCGTGAATTCATCTAGTGTAACGTGGTGTAGGACACATTATGACATCTGAAATATCTACAGAGTACAGCACCGCTTAACACAACCGTCTGCAATACCAGATATATCATGTAACGACAGATCATCAAGTAAATACTGTCGTCTTTTACGAATGCATTTGAAGTAAACAATGAACATTTTTTACGCCAGCGTATGAGCAAAGAAATGCAGCGCGGGAATGCGGCCTCCGTTCAGGGAACATCTCTACCGCGGCAGCAAATTTAGATCAGTACTTCTTCATTCCTTTATAATCTTTTAATGCTTTTCGGCTGTGGATCGACCAATACACCGCCTGGTATTCCGAGAAATTTTGGTAAAATATGGCGATCCAGGATGTACTGTTGGCACTGCGGTTGGCAACAGCCTCCGGTATTTTCCATGGAACGTTATGTCACTATCACGAAAATGGATACTGCATATGTGGTGACTCGTGAGAAAGCCGGATTCTTCCAAATCTTTGCGTCCACAAAATGCAAAAAAAGCTTCGTAGCGCGCGTCATTTTTATCCGGAACTCGGAAGTAGGAAACATGTGTTGACCTGTCCGAGCGATTATTGCAACCAAACACAACACAGATACACCCTCCGTAGATTATGGGATCCCGTTTGCGCTCGTAGTGATAAGGATTGATGCAGATTTCATCTTTTTCCACACTACACGTTTTTCTCTGCCTTAGCTGCAACCCCGGCCCTCTGAAGGATCTGATGACTGCTTGATGCAGCGGAATTTCCCGACTATTGTGCTAAAATATTAATATTATTTCGGTCAGCAAAAGTTTGAAATAAAGCAAATCATGTACGGATGATCACTTATTTTTGGTACTGAACTATTCTCAAAAGACTAAAATTATACAAAATACGAGGTTCTAAAACTCGGAAATTACTCCTCACTCGGATATAAAGGTCGTCGTCGCATGCAACACAACCGGTATCCAACGTGTCTCCAGCTCGACACGACTGTGTACATTTTCTGCAGCGTTTCCGGATCGTCCTTGAAAATTCGCACCAAATATTTCGACACTTTTCTCGCATAAGCAGTATCAACGCGGTGAGATCGATGCAGAAAAAGTTTCTCGAATGGAGCAACATTATCTGCAAACGGTAAACCTGTTAAAATTAGCTAACTATTTCTCTACACTTTATGCAATACTTACCAAAAATACCATTTTGTCTTTCCTTAACGATCTTTTCCTTTGCCAGTTTTCGGTCCAGTTTCTCTTTCGCTAAGCGCTTCTCACGGTACTGCAACTTCTGCAATAAAATCATACCGTTTACGTACATTCATACATCGTGCACTTATGACTTGTGCAAAATTAGAATTATTGTGTATAATGTTAATCATGTATAGATTTGCAATCAAATACTTCTGATAGTCGGTCGACTTTAATGCTATGAATCGACGTCAGTACCTTTTGCAGATCCAGTTCTTTACGCTTTTCGTTGATGCGTTTCACTTGCTCTTCTGGTGCAGTTTTTAAATAATAGCTCTGTTGAAGCCAGGATAAGGAAAACAATTCTTCGTCGCTGATAAACGCACAGTCATCACTTGTATGCCGCATATCGGCACTTGGTTCCTCCATACTGGTCAAGGCAACAGAAATGTCGAAAGAATTCCAAAATTAAGATCCCATATATGGCAGAGTTCCTGGCAAACGTACGTAAAGCGCAAAAACCAAGTCAAAACATATAAACATCCAGATCACAAATGACCGATATGAACAATTTTCTTGCTAATATAAATAGTCCGACTGTGGCGTGTATGCCCGAGCTAATACACACGGATCAATCTGCAAAATTGTTTTGCAGATTGTATTTTGCAGATTGGATTTTGCCGAAACCCACCCAGGCGATGAAGACACGAGGACAGAGATGGGGAGAGGGAATAAGGCGAAGAAAAGTCAAAAAACCATCGTTAAAAGTAAAACTTGAAAGTTAAAATCTTGTGTAGGAATTACTCTAGGAATCAAACTGGAAGTGCAGAAAAGAACGGCAACCCCCCTAAGCGGCAGTTATTTTTGACTACGATGTCTGGGCAGTGTGCTGTAGATTCTGCAGAACGCTTTCACTTTGACTTGGCTTTTCAGGATTTTCACTTTTTAGTCCGTTTTTCTTCTTCCCCGTTTCTGTTTCACTTTCAAGCAAGGTTTAGTTTGTAATAAAAGCTAAAATATACTGCCACCAATGGCATACCATCACTTTATCGGTATTCAGCAGTAAAAACTGCGACGCCTCCGCATTAGAATTGGAAAGAGCAGCTGCCTGGCTGCAGGGTGTCTTAACACTGCAGATCTTTGCCTGGGATTGAAATCACTGAACATTATGTCTTCTTTCTCCGCACCGATGCATCCCATCCCAGCAATTAGACCGCTGGAAAGAATCTGTATGTGGTAGTGCTTTATCTGGCGCTCCCTACGTAGCAGTGTTATTATTCTGTAGTCTCTACGGTATCGTTGGCAGGGTGCGAAAAGTGCATGCGATACAACGACGAGCCCTGTTGGAATCACAATGTGCACATCTCCGATACAGTCGTCATTCCTTACGCTGTATCCAGCCTCCCGAACCAGCTGTATCTGGATGTCTGCGGGAATGGCCTGTCAGGTACGCCAATATTGAGCGTCTGAGCATAAGGTTACTGGAATAGTTTGACTGCGTAATTTTTTAACTGCTTAATTTTTAAATATGTTTTCAAATCTTACATAAGCAAAGCAGCAAAGGCTTGAAGGTGTTATTAATGTATTTCGAATAAAGTAAACCCGAGCTTAAACTTATGACTTTATAAATAAATGGAAATAGCTGAAAGAGAATCATATAGTAATTTTATTTCAGCTTTTACAATTTAGAAAGGTTTAAACTTTAAAGCTGAGAGTTTTGGCTGTGCAAATAAATTTTGGTCGACTGTTTTGAATAGATTTGCGACATTTGATCCTAGCGCAGAAACGCTGTTAAACAATGTTATTGAATTATTTTTAACGTGAATTCCAGATTCCTGCATACTGCTGTTATTGTTGATTCTTGACTTTTGTAGATAATTAAAAAAATTTAAAAAGAAATTTCCTAAATAAATTTTATTCGCTGTTTCGAATGGGTTATATGTATTCGAGATCCTAGTGCAGAAATCCTCGTGATTTTGATCCTAGTACTTAATTTTAATCTTATTGCAGAACCGTTCCAAAATTGCTTTATCTGCTAGTGGTTGACATGAATATTTCTGCAAAAATACAGTACATAATATTATCGGTGAATTTTTGCAGATAAGCGAGTCTTGACGAAAGAGCGCCTTCCGAGTCAAACCATCTTCGGCCCGCTGGTGGCGCCCCTCTCCGACACCCTGGTTCCGCCGCTGATGTTCGCGTGTGCATCGGAAGCGGGCGCACTGCGCTATTTCCAGTTGGGATCCGAGCAGACGGTAAACTGGATGAAATACGTCCGCTTTGCCGTCCGCGAAGGAGAAGGCAATGTCGCGGTGTACGCGCGAGCCAACCAGGTGTTCTTCGTTACGATGCGCGAAATCCCTGCCTACGAAGAGCTGCGGCTGCGCTATTCTAGGAGCTACGCCGAAATGTCCGGTTTCGCCGTACCGCCACTTCGTTCCGGGAGTGCCGGTATGTTTCGCGTTTTTTATGGTTTCCTCTGTCGAGATTTTATAAATCCTGTGCAAGACATTATTTTCTGACGATTTTGTTTTCTCGACACATCTTTCCTGTCGGTTTTGCGAGCCTTATTAATTTCATAAAAGTTTTTTTTTTAAATACTCGTATTATGCGGTCTTGGTGTTGTATATACGTCCATGTCATCATTGAAAAGGTTACCAATAAGTGATTATTTGGAATTTTTGTGTGGAGCTTGTTTTGCATTTGTAGTTTTGCAACATACATATTTTCGCTAAGTTTTCTTTACTCGAGTGATTTGATCAGCGGTGTAGTTTTTTTTTATTTCAAACCATTTGAAGGGTTTTCAGATTAAGGAATATTTGCCGTTGCAGCTTCGAAGCCACCGCTGAAACGGGCCGTACCGGAAACGTCGAAATACGAGCCAAAGCGACTCCGCACAAAGTTTAAATCTCCCGAATTTGTAACAACATCCGATTCGTCGTGCGACGAAAACCCTCCGTCACCAGATTACCCATTCCCTGATAATGCAGCATCCACTCCAGTTAACACTTCCGTTAAGACTACGACGCCGGTGCAACGGAAGGCGATTGTACAAGACACTCCAGCTCTCCCATCAGTAAACCAGACGACTCTGCGGAAGACGACTGTATTACAAGATCATCGTCAAGATGATGCGAATAATTATGCTGACACGGCGGATGTGGAGCCCTATCATGTCCCCGCTGTTCATGAAATTCCTCGGAAAATTCGCCGGAAACTCATCGGCTACAACGGCCCGCAGATGAATCCTGCCCCGACGGTACCCGTTCAGAATGTGGTGAAAGTTATGGTGTGCTTGCCGACCGCTAGCACAGCACGCGGTAAGCAACTCTTGCATTCTGTTGCAAGTTGGCCGTAAACTCTTATGTCTATATACGAGTATTATTTATGTTGTAGTTGTGATATGTTAACGTTGTGAAATTCTGCGAAAAAGACGTTGTCTGACGAATGAGTGTTTTACAAAACACATGTTGCCTTTCATGTGATGATTGGTTAATTGGAGTAAACTGTTTTCAGTTGTTAATATCTTTCAGTTGATATGAAAATTTTTTTTAAAAATTCAGCTTTACAGTCGTTTTTCATCTACATATTGGGTTGGTATAACAATCCTCTTCTGTATTATTTGGGGAAGTAAAACAGTTGAATTGACCATGTACTACAACTTTCTGCGATAGACGATAGAATTTAGCGCTGATTCTGCAGTTTGATGATAACTGCTTTAGGAAGGAATCGGTTAGACGATTACTTCTTGGCGCATAAAACTGGCGCAAATTTGGGCTAATTTAATTTACCTCATACGTAAATCAATCTTATCGTATGAATTTGTTTTATTCGCTGCATAACCCCATCAGCCTTAGTATATACAGTTATGAGCAGATTGGGTACATTGTCCTAACACGGTAAAACGAAAATTGTCTGCGATTATTTTTACAACAAACACTGTACTTAACGCTTAAAATTGTAAGGAATTAATCGTACATAGGCGTACATGTGCAAGTTCGGTTCGTTAGAGATTCGTTGACCTTTTAGTCCCTGTGCTTGCACCGGCCCCTCCCCAACCGCCTATCCAGCTTGTAGCCATCCCGGCACCGAAGCCGCCGGTGGTTCGTATCCGCATCCCGCGCATTCCTCCTCCGTTCGCCACAAAGATGAATCCTTCCCGCCAGATCCTGCCCAAAGGCGGCGTTGTCCCTCGGGATGAATTCGCTGCCTTGAGTAAGACCGAGCCGGTGATTGCCGTCCAGCCCGCGCCGTTCACCTACGAAGAATACGCCGTGGAGAAGAGCGCCAACTGCGAGGAGCCGGCGTTGGTTTTGGTGGGTGATGTGGTGAACAGGAAGAATGACGCCGCGGAGGAAGCCGTGGACGATGAAGAACAGCCCAACGCGAAGTATCAGGCGTGCAGATTGTGTGGCCATAAGACCGATACCCGTCATCATCGTCTGGCGGAACACATGCGCCTGCGGCATCCCGAGTACGTGAAGGAGCATTGGAAGTTTCCCTGTGAGACGTGTGGCTACGTGTTTGCCACGACGAAGGCGGTGCAGAACCATGTTCGCCGTGTAAGAGGAATTTGTTTACCTTTCAATGATAAAATATGAAAGTTTTATGATAAAACTTTTATCACCATGCTAGAAACTGGCGTCGACTTTTGTTTGTTCGTTGCGGTCCCTGCTTGTAAACTGAAAGAACATACTTCGAATTTTCTCAACGACCGTCGATCACGTTCGCTACAATATACAGATATTTCGAGAAATTTTCAGGAGACTATCATTTCTCGAACATAAGTGTTTTTACGTAGTCCTTACTGTACATTTAAGGTTTACCCATAAATGAGCCAATTATAGCACTGATCTCGTACAGAAAACAGTTCTACTGCGTCTGTGATTCCACTCCGTTCTACTACTGTGTTTGATCAACTGTGTTTTTGATTGGCTAATCTCTGTGTCACTGTTTAAAAGGCAGAAGCAAAGTGAGAACTATGTAAAATAACTATTTTTAAAACAATTACTTTGCATTTCGCTAAAAAAAGAGTAAGTAATAGTTTTGGAAATTGTATACCATCAGAAAATTGAAATACGTGAGCGATCATTTGTTGAGAGTAACATATACTTAGCGCAAGTAATCGGCTTGAGAAAACCTGTAGCACCGCTCGAAGGCGGTGTTTTGTACGCTGTAATACGACCTTTTGCAGACGCATTCTTGCCCAAAGCGTGGTAAGAGTCGCGGTAAGCGTCCTTCCACGGAAGAAGTGCAGACCGCTCTGCAGTTCATCAAATCCACGGGATTCTACAGCTACTTCTGCCCGGACTGCCACAAGCACTTTGCCAGTCAACCCCTTCTGGAGCTTCACCGAAGGCCCATGACCCCACCGCCCCGGTGGAACCGCCCGAGCGCTGCTGCCCGGCTTGTCCCTTCTCCGCGGACAATTTCCCGGCGCTTCTGGAACACCTATCCGAGCATTCCTTCAACGAGGAGGACAAGAAACCCTGCATGATCTGCGGCGATTATACCGTCAAGACCAAACTGCACATCCGCTACAACCACGTGGAGGAGATAGTCACGGCGTCGGCCGACTGGAAGTATCCCTGTCAGGTGTGCGGGGCGCGCTTCTTCGACGAGAAGACTTTCCAGTGGCATCACACCAAAGAGCACAAGAACGGGCAGTGTCTGTACTGCGCCCGGCTGACGTATTCCCGGCCGGAGCTACGCGAGCACATCGTTGAGCATATGCAGGTAACAACTGGTAATTTGGAATGCGGAGGTTTAAAAAAAGCCTGGCTGTGAAATATTGAAAATTGAAAAAATCGGGGATAAAAATTGAAAAAACCCTTCGTACAAAGCGAATATAATTTATAGAAGCCAGTAAATTCTAAAATTCATCGATGAAGGGATATGGGAGAAAAGCGTTTGTGGTTACAGTAGTTTGATTTCATGAATTTTATTGCTGTGTTTTACGTAGCAGTTTCTTTCTCAAAAAAGCCTCGGTGAGAATGTTGAACATTGAGAAAATGCTAGGGGTAAAAACATGAAAACTTCACTTCCTGTTGCGACGTTTTTATTTCGTTTACTGTTAGATAGGTGTTTTAATCGAAATCTTGTGGGTTTTTTTAAAAATGTTTTTAGTTTCTGTTTTTCTCCTGTTATCTTACTTGATGGGCAAACTGTACCAACTGGAAAAGCTTTTCTTAAATAGTTATACGAATACACGCTGTGCTGTTCCGCAGAATGACCGGTTTCCCTGTCCCTCCTGCGACCAGACCTTCCGTCGCTACCTGCAGGCGACCTTCCACTATCGGGACGCGCACGATGTTAAGGGCGTCACCACGTGTCATGTGTGCGAGAGTGTCTTCCGCACTGCCCACCGGCTGCAGCTGCACATGAAGACCCACCTGGGACTGCCCAGGAAGAAATACCATAAACCCGGCCACAAGCGACCGCCGGGCTGGGTGGCGCCGCGGCTGCGCATGAAATGGACCGAATTCCCGCATCGCTGCGAGCCCTGCCAGCTGGGCTTCATGACTAAGTTGTCCTTGTATAAGCATGAGCAGCGGAAGCATGCGGCTGATCAAGGGGACAGCGATCAAAGCGGCGCGTGAATATGCAGTCAGTATGCATATTTTTTACCAATGATTTCTTCTGTTAGATGATGCCGTCTAGCTTGTTGACTTCATCGCTATAAATGAATATTTTCGCGACTGTTTAGTTGGAAAAACTGTAGTGTTCCTTGTGTTACGTTTATCACAATCAGACATTCTGATTTGTTGCACCGTAGCAGTTTTAAAGTTTCTTCGACGATACAGTTCGACTGCCAAATTATATTTTGCTGAACCGTAGTTAACCTCGTTAAATGGTTATTATGGATTTATGGTAATTAATCTTTTATTAAACATGTGAACATGAACGTGTTTTGAGTTACTTTCTGATTTGAGGTTGCTGAATCTAATTGCGATACGCTCTGATACTTGGCTTCTGCAGTAGAAAAAAACGAAAAGTGAAAGCTGTGTTGAACAGTGGCCGGCTGTTTGGTTTAATACACCTGCAGAAGTAAGTACAGTGAGCAATAAATTGTTCTGATAATAAAAACATACTTTGTATACTTGCGTATCAATAGCACAATAAAAACATATTATGCCTAATTTATTTTATTACAGGACTAATTTTGAGCAAACCAATTATCGCTGTTTTTAATGCACTTTACGTGACTTAAAATGTCGCATTACGTACTTAATAATATTACCATAATGAAAACTAAATACATATTGCAGCACAAGCGGTGTTCCACTTGTCTAAACAGCGTTTACAGTATTTCAAGATCGACATTCAGCTTTTGGCAAACGATTAGTAATATGACAATAAACACTTGACAGTGACCTGCGGCACAGAAAAACTTGATATCGGTAAAATGATTGTCTTGGTAAAGATAATTGGATTTTGAACCTTCACAAGGCCGTAAACACTGCTTGATGATCCCGGAATCATGTGTTAATCATTGGACTAAACACTTCAATCGATCCAGCGCGTAAAGTGTCAATCATCACTTGTCGGGCATCATTATACCGTGATTAATTTAACACCTACGATTTCTTATCCAAAGGCTGCCAATTAAGCGAAATGTGTACGAGTACTCTGTAGGGTTTATTGTTTCTGTGTATCGCCCGGCACCGGACGTGATCGAGTGCCCTTTAGCGACAAGTGGACAGCGCACGGGATACGCGGCCGGTTTGTTGTTTACATATCTTTACTACATTTTGGCATATATGACGCGAGTATTCTGGAATAATGTTTTCTGATAGCTTTTGTATGATTGTCGAGTTTGCGGTTAATGTTGTCGATTCGTAACGCTGTATTGCAATTTGTACATTTCAACACCGGCATGCAAACGCTGTAAACAAAAACTGACAAAAAAGGTGACCCTGCGGGCTTCGCGCAGTTTTTGACTGGTTTTCCTGTATGCTTTGATTAACGACATAAACAGTATATCATCGCCATTCGAATTCTGACAGGTCTATGAAAAATATAAAGCCGAAAATTAATTAATCTTCTTAAGCACTTTCACGCGACTAATGCTGCATAAATCCGCAGATTACTTTCCACTGGAAGACACATTAGGCATTTCGCGCCGTATATAAAAGCGCCAAGCAAGCTGACATCTGTGACATTTTTTCCCAGTATAATCAGGACAATTTTTTCCAAGTAATTTGTTATAAAAAATGGAAAGTACACTGGATCAGTACACGGATAAAGCCGAGCACTACTCCAAACTGAAAGAGCGCGACTGGGTGCGCGTCGTCGAGCGGCCGACCGTCTTGCGCGCCCTCGGTGACCTCCGCAATTTAACCTGCATGGACATGGCCTGCGGATCGGGCTACTACGCCCGCCAGATGAAACTCCTTGGCGCCGCCGAGGTCATCGGCGTCGACTACTCGCCGCAGATGATTGAGCTGGCCCGCAGCCTCGATGACCTTTCCATCACCTACCTCACCCAGGACTGCGAGCGCCTGGAGGAACTGGGCATGCCCGAGTATTTCGATGTGGTGTTCGGTGGGTGGATGATCCCGTATATCCCGTCGGTGGAGCGGGTATCCCGTTTCGCCCAAAATCTTCGAAGCGTGGTGAAGCCGGGCGGTCGGACCGTCCAGTTGTTCGGGAATGAGAACCGCTTCAGTAGCGGGAATGTCGTGGATCTGATGGACGCCATGGGGCAGCGGTTTGAAGCTAATGGGCATGTACCGCGGGACGGAGATCCGTATAAGGTCATCATTGGAGCGACCGGCGACAGTCCGGGGGTGGAGCTGATCAATCACTATTACACGCATCCGACCATTAAGAAGTGCTTTATGGAGGCCGGGTTCGGGGAATGTAAATTTCACTCGATTGTTCTGCAGGCGAAGACGACAGCGGAGCGGGAGAAGTACCGGGAATTTGTGGAGGATCCGCTGATAACGGTATTCGAAGCCAAGAACGTTTGATGGACGTGGTTGTGAACTACTGTTTACCATGTATCTTCACTATCTTATTCTTCACTATCCTATGCATGCGTTTGACAACGATTACGATAATTTCTGGTACAAGTTACTTTTCGGCTCCTATCCGATAGGTCAATTTTTGCTTCAAGTTACTTAATACTAAAAGTTTCTTCATTTTACGTACGTTGGTTGCGCTATTCGGTGAGTGTAATACTGTATTATGTTCTCGTAGATGTACGAAATAATTAAGTAAATATAAACACTTTTAAAAGCATTACGCGGAAAATTCACATGCTACACCCGCGTTTTTATAATAATTAGTGAACAAATAATGGCACACACTAATAATCAGTGAACAAATAAATATTTCTATTATTCTAATTATTAGAATAATAGAAATGTTTATTTGTTCACGTACGGCGCTATGTCTCTGGCAGAACGACTGGATGGTAGAACGACTGCCTGCTCGTTGGGCGCGTACGTGTGGGAAGAAATAGGCTGATCACTTTCAATTAATGTGTTTCGAATGTTTACTATTTTTGGGAATTTATTACACGTCGTTTTGTCGCGGCAAATGTCGAGTATTTCGGTAGTTACGTAAATTGGATCTGGAAAAGTGTTGTTTGTCGAAATGGTAGTGGACTTTGAATCGATTAAAAAAATGTTAATTTTATGCAAGCTGCAGATGAATTAATGAATTACATGCAGTCTTTTACACGCCGTGTTGGTGAGCCGTATAAACTCGCGGTTTATTTCCGCTCGTTATTACTATTAATTTTGGCCATTTACTTCCTAATTTGTTGTATTTTTTTGATTGTAAATTATATATTTTTCAAAATTTGGTATTTTCTTTTCGCTATTTTTCTTTTCGGTTAATGTTTTGTTGGAGAGAAAACGTATGAAGAAATTAAAATAAAAAACATAGTAATGGCTTTTTTGTAAAATACTTAATAAAATAAAAAAAACCAACGCTTTTTATTCCCGCTGATTTCCGCCGAGTGGAAACTATACTGCTCAGCGGACGATGCAGCCGACAAAAATTAAAAACTGAATTGAAAACTAAATTCAGTTAAAGAAATTCAACAAAACGGTGGCCACATCAAAGTCGATACATCACCACTCGCGAGGCAAAACAATAAGCGCTCTACTGATAAGATTATCACTGCTTCACATACTGTTCAAAAGAAATGACCGTAATCTGCACAGTACGGACCGAACCGGACAGTTAAAATTAAGTGCAAAAATCCTACTAACTGATCGGTTAATTCGGCACAACGCAAAAGCAAAACTACCGTGATTATCCAAGGCACCGGCGTCAAGAATTGCGTGGGATGCAGAATAATCTCGGGCTGCCACGGACATTGATGGAGTGCAGTGTCAGTGCACCGCCCGCCGCTCGTCTGCATCTCCTCCATCCCCGCGACGCCGGCCAGCGCCGCGTCCAGGTAGAACACCCGGATCTTCATCCCCGTCACCTTCTGCAGCTCCTACCGCAACTGTCCCACCGTCTGCTTCACGTTCACCTAGTTTATTAACATTAAATTAATTATTGCCATTTTTATTACAATCAAACAAATTTTCCTCATTTTAATATCTATTTTGTATTTAAGTAAAATTATTATCCATTTGATTGTTGTTTTGACCTTGAAAGGTCGTCGTTGGACACTCCTGTAACTCATTCCGAACTCCACGGACTCCGGCGCCGCTAGCTGCACGTCCAGGAGGGGCGCCTTTGGCGCCCCTCCTGGACGTGCAGCGCCAAAGGCGCCCCTCCCCTCAGCTCCGTGAGCGCGGGTAGGGCGGATGGACGTCCGCGCCGCGGAAATGCCACAAAAAGGTGCGCTCAGCGTCTATTCGCTCCAGGGCGTCGACGGGAGTCCCCTTCAAGAGGGTTAACGCAAGCAGACTGGTCAAGACGTGCTGGCGGGTGGTCAGAGTGGGGGAGAAGGGGGCGCTCTTGGATGGGAGGTGCGGTCAGCGGGTAGTCCGTCCAAAGGGGCGTGTTCAAGAGGCGGAGGTCCGTCAACGAGGGGAGGTATTACAGCTGGTCTAATGCCGTCCAGGAGGATAGTTCCGTGTGGTTGAGGTGCATTTTGCTCACCGAGGGGAGATTGTCCCGCAGCGCCTCCATATCCTACGCACGCACATACAATTTTTTATGATTTTATTATACATTTATTAATATTAGTGCTACATAATTTATGGCAGAGCAAAGTAATTAAAGGTCACGGCACGGCTAAACCGGCCGGTATGCTAACATATGATAATATGCATTAACGTAACGAACGGAAAGGCAATGTGAGGCAGGGAATTGTTATTAAGAAAGAAATCAGGCAGAAGTGCAAAGTGTACCGTCGGAAGTGGTACTGAATGAATGCAGGAATGTATAAATGTCCCCAGTAGAAGTGAAGAACAGCAGTATTTGTTGGCAAACAAGTAGAAAAGAATAATATCAGACAGCACGGGTGAGCATATCGCTCAAATTAATCAGTAAACAGAAGCAACATCATAAAAGTGAATCAGAGCTGTCGCTCAATTACCTATATACAAAACATTACGTGACATTAGTTTATTGAAAATTATTATAATAATCCTTAGTGTAAAAAAGCCACCTGGAGGTCGTTGAGGGGGTTGTGGCTGGCGAAGAGGGTCTGCAGTTGGGGGAGGAGCGCCCGATGCGCATTATTTTGCACCAGAAGGCCAGCTAGTTGCAGTCGGTGTGCAGCTCCTTCAGGCCGGGAAGGCGCTGCCCTCTCACTGTGCACTCCCGCGAACGACGCGTACTCGCTCAGATTCAGGTGCAGCTCTTCCACGCTGCAACACACCATAACTAAAATCCTCATTAGATGTATCCCAGCAGCAGTCCATTTAGTTAACTGGAACACGGTACAACTGTGGCATGAAAGAGCAAAACAGGGACCAAATACGAGCCGGAAAATAATATTCCAATGCCGGCAAGTCATGATTGTTGTAAATAAGCAACCTTGCAAAATATGCAGAGTATTTTATAAAAAATTAACAAATTATATGAACAAATTTTATTTCAAAATATTACCCTTAAAAGTGTTAAAAAAGAGAAACTATTTGCAAAAAATATTGCACAGGCTGTACTACGCTACGGCGGTGCCAGTTAATCGATCAGCAGCGACCGCAAAAGTATCGGCTGACTACTCAGCCGGACTGTGGGATTTGTACTGCAAGCGGGAATGTGCGTTGATCGATGCTGACAGATTCCGTGGAGTGTCGGCTGAGAAGGGTAATCGCCGGCAGCCGAGACTTCCCGGCAGCCGAGGCAGGCATTCTTCTCGCTGCAGACGGGCCAAGTAGGGGACAATTGATTAAAGTGAGCGACTTACTGGCTGAGTTACTGCGGCAACCAGTCCAGCAGCGCCATGCACGCATCGACGCGGCTCCCATTGAGAATCAGCCGGCGGAGCTGCGGGAAGGACGGTGCGGGACGCGGATCATGCCGCAGCTGGCCGATTGCAAGGGGCATAGGGGGCTCTCCTCCCCGCCCACCCCGCAGACGTCGGTCACCTGTAATGCGTTCAGCGGGTTGAAGCTCAGATTCAGCGACTCCAAGTTGTGGGTGTGGTGCAGTAGCGGGCGAATCTGTCGTTAAGGATCATTAGGGAAAATACCAGTGCAATCGAAGGTGGTCGAAAGTGGTAATTGTCGGCCGGGGAGTTATCGATTACAGCAGCGACAAGTGCCTGTTTACCTCGCTCCATTTGCTGAGTCGATTGAAGGAGAGACCAATTTCCCGCAAGTGCACAGCACGCCGCCCAGACGATTAATCCCGAAATTCTGCATGACCACGTACGGGGGACAGACAGGCGGAACCACGGTGCCTGCAATTATTCTGATTTGATCAATCATAATATTAAACCGTTAAAGGTCGAACAGAAATTATAGGACTGCTAACCTTTAATAAGTATCATGTCACAAGTACAAACTTAGTACTTACTAGAAAACATTTATAACAGAAACACTTCCTCGATGCTATCCTGATCGGGAATTGTACCCATTACACAAATCGCATTCCCCCGCTGTATCTGGATAGAGAGTCGTTGTCTAAAAAACTCTTTCGCACGTTTCTGGCGTGTGGCGGTGGCGATGCCGCTCCCAACCTTCTCCACAAGCCGATTTGTTCCATCTCCCCACGGTCCGTAAATTTCAAATGCTGCCGCCATGAAGTAATAGCGTGGCTGCAGCCAGCTGTGTATCGTCAGTTTCGCTCTTTCGGCGTGTTCAGGTGCGGGACCGGCATTCATTGAGGTGCGGTCGATATACGTGGCAGCAAGTGTGTCCACGCAAGTCACGGCTTTCCGCGTTCCCATGGTACGAGTGTGATCACATCCGGCCTTTTGCGATCCTTCGCTGAAAGACCTTTCGGCTCCATTCTGGCTGGGAAACCGGCTGTCCTTAGGCTTCGTCCCGAATTCGAAGCGAATCTTACTGCGATACAGCAACTCCACCTCGCGAGGTGGCTTCGCGTACCGTATCTGTAGGCGTGGCCACTGCATACAGCCACCTCGTGCGGTTGAGCAACCGTACCAAAGCTAGATTCGCTTTGAATTGGAGACGCAGCCTTTGAGCTCCCCACTGATACCGTCGTGTCGTGGCAGCCGTCCGGCAGATCGTTTGCAACGGAGTCCGTGCCGGCCTAATTCGTCAATCGATCCGCCGCACACGCACACGTGCGGGGATACGATTGGTGCACTCAAACGCAACGCAACACTGATGCGGAGAGCATTATTTTCCAGCAGATTACCGAGGCTTGCTGCGGGCAGTGCATGGATCCATACGCCGGATTCCGGACTGAAACAGCCTTCAGGTGAGCGATCTCATCCTTTGCAGTACGCAATAGGTCAGCCTAGAAAATGCGTGCAGCGTCGTAGGCGTGTCCCAGGCCTTCTGAACGTGTCGCAGTGCTTCCGCCGGGAGGTCGTCTGTGTTGGCGATAATTTTCCAGGCACGAGTGGCTACCGTCACATCCGTTGGCTTAACCGTCGGACACAGCTTGGAGATCAGTAAGTGCAACGAGGAGACCGATGCCAGAAAGGCAGAGGGAGCTAGCTTCTCGGTGCGTCTGATCCCCAAACCGCCTAGACGAACGGGAAAGGATGCCTGGAGCCACGTCGGATAGTCCATCCGTACGTTAGTGATGGATTCGATTGCGTCGCGGAACACTTGATCCATCCAGCCTGTACAACTCGCTGGGGAACATCCAGGCGGAAGAGGTGCGTAAATTTTGATTTTGTATTAGGGTTTATTAGTGTAATTTGTCAGCATTCTACAGTCATGTTTTTCTTTTGATACTGCTGAATTATTCTTATTTAACTGGTAAGGCAATTTTTTAAGAATAAATACAGATATTCTATTCTCTATAAATACAGATATTCTATTCTGTTCGACACGATAAATTGTATACTCGTCGCATTAATTCGCTGCTGACTGCTGCTCACGCGGAACAACACAATTAAGCAGATAAATTCATTCATCCCGCAGTAGCGATTTGATTGAATTGATTCGAAACGATGCCATGCCTATCTTAGCAGCGCCGGTTTAATACAAATTTATTTTATCGACAAAATACAAGCATAATCAATGTGTGTGTCTCAGCCTTTATTGTCCTGTGGTTGGTATAATTGAAGATCGTCAATACATGTAGTAATGTACTGTGTTGTCGAGTCAACTTGGCACCTTTTTTTACAGTGAGTCGTATCCGCTTAGCGTATAACTGTGGACAACTCCGCCCACTCCAAATGCCGATGGCGAATGGCAATTGCACAGTCTTTGATGGAATGAGAGGCCCATCCTCCTGCCGGGGGAATAAATCCACTGACTTTCCCTTCCATTAAAACATCATAAGAGCATTTGATGTATTATAAAAATTTTAATAAAAGTTTAAAGAAATTTATGGTGGTATGGGGAGTCAAACGTGGTGTGCAAAAGGTGGTATCAGGAGCCAAACGTGGTATGAAAGGTGGTATTAGGAGCCAAAGGTGGTATAAAGGTGGTATGACGGCCGCGAACCACCCGCCCGGTACTGGGCGGCTAAAGTCTCTGACGGCCGCGCACCACCAGCCGGTACCGGACGGCGGAAGTCTCTGACGGCCGCGCAGCACCACTTGCGCAATGGCCAACGTTTCTGTCTGCACATGGCAACTTAGGTGTTAATTCTAATTAATCTTTTCTGTGCGGTAATTTCTCGAAAAAGAACTGATTTTGCAAACAAAAGACATATCACCTTCGTAAAACTCACTATGCTTGCACAGTTATTGCAGTGAAATACAAATAAGATATAAGAGGATCGCAATTTGATGGACTATCGGTTGCACTGTGTCAACAGTTGCTATACGTTAGTTAATTTAATTTAATTCGAGTCAGAGCAGGTAGCCCATTTCCGGCTAGGATGACAGTCTAGCCTGGGATTTTAAACCTGGCTGGTAGATGCTAAAGACAAAAACATCGAAGTCAAAGTTAGAAGGGTATAATCACACACGAAACATAACTAGGGAGAAAACAATACCCAACAGTAGTTCAGAAAAGGCCCGCAGTGTATAGTGCACTTCTAAAACACCCAAGAGAACGTAATTCAAGAATATCACTGCCACAAAAGTTGATCTTATCCAGTAGCTTGCTCAGTCGCCATGCCAATGTGGTTTCCCCACATTTTGACGCGGCCTTCGTTCTGATGGTAGATTTATCGGCGTTACGCAGGTGGTATGGCTTCCTTTCCTCGTACTTTACCAAATCCATTATGTAGTTCGGCACGTTGAACGGCACAGGATGTTTGATCTTGTACAGCCAAATAGCCTCCTGGTGCTTCCATCGGGTAAATAGGGGAACGATTCCGAAACGGTCCATCAACATTTTTACAGGTGTCGTCGGATAGTTCGCAATTGCCCGGACTGCATTACGCTGTGCAACGGCTAACTTCTCTCGCAGGGACACAGACGCGTTGCTCCACACGGTAGAGCAGTAGTCCAGATGAGACTGGACGAACGCGTAAAAAAGTCCCACACGTTAAGCGTCGCACAGGCCGTCTTTCGCACGATTAATGAGAGCAATAAATGACTGACACTTTTTTGGACCTTATTGAAATGTTCGGTCCATTTTAAGTGCTGGTCAATTATCACCCCCAAGTGCTTAACGGATTTTCTGGTTCAAGTCGATGACTATTCAACTCAACTGTAGGTTGATTCGTTTCACGATTACGAGCTGAAGACACATACATTTGTTTCGATTTTTTTTCGTTAATTACAAGGTGGTTGGCGTTAAACCATTCTGTGATAGCCGGGAGTGCACTTTCTAGCTTAGCCGCTGCAGCCATCTTACTATCCGCCGTAACATAGCCAATTGTATCGTCGGCAAAGCTTTCTAGTCTCACGTCTCCGACATCGGTTTGATGGAAATCATTAAGGTAAACAGAAAACAAATTTGGTCCGAAAATTGATCCTTGCGGGACGCCAGTTTTGACTTCCGCCCATCGTGACACACGTTTGCCGTCCCGCACTCGCTGCAGTCTGCCGGTCAGGTACGAGTGAAACCACGACAGCGCTGATGATTTTGCGCCGATATCACGGAGCTTTTTCAACAGCGTATTGTGACAAACTGATGGAAATGCGGCTTCAGGTCAAGAAATAAAACTGCAACAACTTTTCTTTTGTCCACTGCCGCTTTCCACTCTTCCGTCACTTTCAACAGTAACGTTTCGCACGAATGGCCATTACGAAAGCCAGATTGGTTAGGCGATAACACATTCCGATCTTTTAAAAATTTTACCAGCTGCATTTGTGCGGCTTTCTCAAAAACTTTGGACAAATTACACAAAAGAGAAATCGGCCGCAACTCATTCGGTGAAGTCGGGCTGGAGCATTTTGGCAATGCGATGACATCAGCCATTTTAAAAATTGTGGGGAATGTATGCTTAACAAAGCACTGATTTATTAAGTTGGTCATCGGTACAGTTAACAACGGATAAATCTTCTGCAAAAGCTTCTGTGGAATTCCGTTCGGGCCAGCACATTTTTTCTTGCTCAACATTTTGAGAAAAATATCAGAGACAATTTCTGGCGTAACTGATTCAAATTCGAAGGCAACTGAGGCGTTTTCATCCGGTACACACGCGGGCGGCTGTTGTACACCATGCTCCCCCATGCTAGCAAACTTTTCGTTTAACTGATTTACATTGTTTATTGTTTATTGTTTATTGAACGGCAGGCAGGTAACCCATTAAAAGCTAGGATCGAAATGGTGGACACTTCGGCATAGTTGGCAATTGCTCGAATGGCTTTTCTTTGCGCGACAGCCAGCGGCTCCAGCGTGGACACAGGCGCACCGCTCCACACAGTGGAGCAACGGTCCAGATGAGACTGGACAAATGCGTGATAAAGTCCAACGCGTTGGGGCACAGGCAGCCCGCTCTTCACACTGTTTATGAGGGCGACTCCATGGTAAGAACTTTTTTGGACATCAAAGGCAGATCGTTATTCTGCTTGTTTTTGTTTAGTAGTTTATTTAATTCGCGCCAAATTAAAGCAGAATTTTTACGATTTTCGAGAAAATAGCGCTTTTTTGCGTTTTTAATCGAGAAGTATAGCTCTTTCTTTAGCCGCTTAAAATGTTGATTATTACCTTGATATTCCAAAGTATTTCTCGACATTTTTTTCCGCTTGTAAGCAGCGTTTTTTTCTCTCGTTAAGCGCTTAATTTTTTCGTCAATCCAAGGAGCATCTCTTTGAGAAATTCGTTTTGATTTTACAGGAAAACATTTATCGACTATCGCAAACAGACCGCTAACAAAACGGCCAACTTCTTCGTCCACACTAACATAATCAACATAATTAACGTACTGACTGGTAAATTCCGCGACTTCAGTTCGAAAGTTTTCGAACGTCGTCTTTTTCCAGTCCCGAAAAAAAATAAACTTGTGCTCCGGTTTTTTGCATGGGTATGCTGAAACCGTTTTGCACAGCCAATGGTCCAAAAAATCAACATCTTCAGCGTTAAATGACCGATATGAAGTTTTTGGATTGCACCATATGTAATCGATCTTACTGGCGCTCGACATAAGGGTGACGTCAGATTTTTCCAAGCGCTGAGCAACTCGAGTATATCCGACCACCTTATCTTCAAACGAAAACTCATCGACAAATTCGGATAGCAAACGTAAATACGGGCTGGTGGACTTCGGGGAACTGTCAACGTTAAGGTCGCCCATAACAATATGATCGTAATCCGGGTACTTCAAGAGCACCTCTCGCATATGTTCAAACAGGGCTTTTGTTTCTTCTGCACTGGAATCCGGTTGCCGATACACAGTTCCAATAACGATTTTTCTCTTCGAAATTTTAAGTTTAAGCCAGAGACACTCAAAACCCTTACTTCGAAATTTATGGGAAAACATTGATCGAAAAGGAAGTTTACCTAAAAAACTTACCTGGCTGGCCGGATTTATTTTAAGCCGCCAGCCAGCCAGCCAGCCAGCCAGCCAGCCAGCCAACCAGCCAACCAGCCAACCAGCCAACCAGCCAACCAGCCAACCAGCCAACCAGCCAACCAGCCAACCAGCCAACCAGCCAACCAGCCAACCAGCCAACCAGCCAACCAGTCAACCAGCCAACCAGCCAACCAGCCAACCAGCCAACCAGCCAACCAGCCAGCCAGCCAGCCAGCCAACCAGCCAACCAGCCAACCAGCCAACCAGCGTTTCCCAGTTCAGCTTGGAAAACGATCATATAATACTTTACTTACATGTCGTTGGTGTATCCGCGGCAG